AAAAAAAAAAAAAAAAAAAAAAGAAACAAAAACCCCTTTAGCCCAACAACATATTTTTTCAGGGAGGAGTATGATATCTCTGACATTTATTGGAATTGCTGTCAGAGGTGGTCACAAAGAGCATCTAGCATCTGGTTGGTTTCAGTTTTAAAATTTTCTACAATTGGGAGGCTGAGGCAGGAGGATCACCGCCAAGTTCGAGGCCAGCCTGGGCTACATAATGAGCACAGGGCCAGCCTGAACTACAAAGTGAGAACCTGCCTCACCCCCTACGCACCTTGGTGGGTGACTCCAGGGGCGGCGGCTGGGTGGAAGCAGGCCCCTCCCGCCCCTCTCCCTGCCCCGCCCCAGCCTGGACCAGGCCTCCGGGGCTGCGGAACGGGCCGGGCGGAGCCCGAGAGGGCGCTGACTCTCGGCCGGGAGACCTCGGCCCACTCTCCGGGTCGGGAAGTTCCGAGGGTTGCACTAAAATGGGAAGAACCTGCCCGGGCAGGCAGAGGAAGGAGAATTCCTGGCAGGTGAGTTCCCTAAGCGGGCAGGGTTCGAGGCCGGCCTCTCGGGTTGCCGGGCGACTGCTGTTAGTAAACAATCGGGGTGACCCGGTCCCGGGGCGGGGTCTCAGGCCCAGGCCGCAGCGCGGGGCCGGATTTACAAACGCGAGCTGGGGAACCGGCTGTTCCGCAGTCGGTGCCGTACAGGAAGGGGCAGCCCGGGCGAAGGTCTCCGGAGAGCCCGCTTCGCACCTTCGCCCCGGTCCTGGGGTGACAAAGCGCGCGGTCACCTTCTCTTTGCCCTTGGCGCAGCCCTGTGAGAAGCCAGGACGAGGACCGGCCGGCCGCTGTACAGCGGGCAAGGCGGGGTTGTTTCCTAAACCGCTCCAGGAAGCCAGGGGCAGAGGCCGCGGGGCATCCAGACCTCCGGCTGTGCAGCTTGGCCCCCTTTCCACCAAATCGGGCTTTCTCACGTTTGCATCCTTGGTCTTTTTTGTTTTAAAAGGGATTGAACGCGGGGCCTTCACACTGCCCATTTTATTTTTTATTTTGAGACAGGGTCTCACTAGGTTGCTAAATTGCCCAGGCTGGGCTCCACCTCGTGACCCTCCTGCCTCAGCCTCCCAGAGTGATGAGATTATAGCCATTCATCATTATACGTGGCTCCTTGATGATTTCAATGGGTGTCAACATTTTGGTAAATAAAAAAATTGGCAGAAATTTTAAAATAATGTATTAAAACATTTAAAAAGTAAGAACGCTGGCTGATATAAATCCACAAGGAGGATATTATTTGTAACAGTCACTGGATTATTTATATTTTGCTCAATATCGGATAGTTTGAGCCACAGTTTAGGCCTCATATCCAGCCCTGCCCCCCATATTTCTACTAAATTAATTAGGAAAACTGTACTGTGGAGAACATTACCATCAGGGCTTAAATTTGCAAGCTCAGTAGCTCAAAAGTTGGAAGACTGATTTTTTTTTTTTAACAGGGTCTTCCTACATAGTCCAGGCTGGCCTTAAACTCACTGTGTAGCCCAGCTGGCCTTGAACTTGCCCCGATCCTCCTGCCTCAGCCTCCTGAGTGCTGGGATTACAGGCGTACACCACCACACCTAGCTTGGAAGACTGACTAAAAAACTATTTTAGTTTTTCTTTTTATGGCACTGGGGATTGAACACAGGGCTTCCCCCATGCTAAGCAAGGACTCTACCCCTGAGCTGAACCCCCCACCCCCCATGGACTGTTTTGACCAAGAAGGCAAAGGGCTTCTCTCTCTTTTTTTTTTATGGTATAGAGGATCGAACTTGGGACCTTGCACTTGCGCAGTAGGCGGCGAAACCACTGAGCTAAATCCCCAGCCTGCAAATGGACTCCTTATCCAACCTCAGCCCTGTTGGGAAATGCGGCTTCCTGTTCTGATGCAGAACGTCAAAGTGTGTGTTTTATTGTGTTCAAGGATATACAACATGCAGTTTGCTATTTTATCAAGGCGGTTTTAAAATATGCTCAATAATGTATTTTGATTTCTTAAAAAGTTAAATGTTGGGAAATAGTAAAACTCTCATGATGCAGTTGTGCCAGTGTTCTACTTTAGAAATTCTGATAGTTTATCCCCGACATTAGGATTATGAAGTTGTGGGCAGGGAGTGTGGCTGAGGGTAGAGCATGTGCTCAGCATATGCAAGGCCCCTGCCAAGCTGCAGCTCTAAGAGGAGAGAAAGGAGGATTCAGTTGTGGTCCTGTGTGACAGGCTTTGAGACATCACCAGATGCGCTGCTGGAGCCAACTGTTGGCAGCCAGAGAGATGCTCCCACAAAGCACTGATGTGGTGGGAAGGAAGAAGGAAAACTACCTCTGCCTTTGGATGACGCGATCCTATACGCGGGAACCCCAAAGAGTCAACCGAAAGTGATCAAAGCTAATAAATGACTTCAGCAAAATCTCAGGACACAAAATCAATACGAATCAGTTGCAGTTCTACACAGTAGCAATGAACAACCTGAAAATAAAATTAAGAAAACAATTCCACTTATAATAACATAAAAAACCCAAAATACTAAGAGGCTGGGGTACAGCTCAGGGGTAGGGAGTGTGCTTACCATGCAGGAGGCCCTGGGTTCAATCCCCAGTGTGCTCTCTCTCTCTCTCTCTCTCTCCACACACACACACACACACACACACACACACACACACCCCCAAGAAAAAAAATACTTGGGAAGGAACTTAGCCAAAACAGTGCAAGGCTTGTACACTGGAAAATACTGCTAAAAGAAATCTGAGAAGATCTAAATGATTGAAGGACACATTATTTATTGTCCGGAGAATTTAATATCGTTAGGATACGAGGCTCAAATTGAGCTAGATTCAGCGCCTACCCCTTAGGCAGTGAGAGCTTAAAGCCAGCCTGGGCCACACAGTGACTTCAAGGCTGACTCAGGCCACATAGTGAGACTCTGTGTAAAAAAAAAGTTAAACATATCCTCAAATTAAAGGGACTCAGAATAACTGAAATAATCTAAACAAAGAACAGAGTTGGGGGACTCACACTGCTTTGACTTCGTATCTTACTATAAAGTGACTATGATCAGACACTGCACTATAGATATAAGACTAGACACACAGGCCAGTGGGCTAGAGCCGAGAGTCCGAGGGTCAGTCTGCACGTCTGTAAGTACTTGACTTTTGGCAGTGTCGCTAAGAGATTTGGTGGGGGAGGAATCTTCCAAACCAATGATGCTGGAACAACTGGATCCATCTTAATATCATATATGGAATTTAATTAACAAAAGCTCAGAGACCTAAATGTAAGAGTGAAAACTATGAAATTCTTAGAAGGAGACATAAATGAGGATCTTGTAACCTTGGATTAGGCAATGGTTTCTTAGGATGTTTTGATACCAAAAACGTAAGCTAGGAAAAAATGGATAAATCAGACCTCATCAAATTGAAAACTTTTAAGCTGATCATGGTAGTGGATGGCTGTAATCCTTGCTACTCAGGAGGCTGAGACAGGAGGACTGCAAGAGACTGGGCTACTTAGTGAGATCTTGTTTCAAAATGAAAAGCACTGGCCTTGTAGCTCAGTGGTAGCTCATGCCCTATTCGATCTCTAGTGCCAAGGGGCGAGAGGATGGGAGGAAGACAGATGATGGAATGGAAGAAAATATTTGCAAGACATTTATTTGATAAGTGCCTACTATCGAGAATGTATAAAGAATCCTTACAACTCAACAACTGAAAGATAACCCAATTTTAAAAAGAGGCAAAAGTTTTGAACAGACATTTCCCCAAAGAAGATATAAAAATGGCTAATACATATATGAAAAGATGGTTAACATCAATAGTTTCTTCGGCAGTACAAATCAAAACCACAGCGAGATACCCCTCGCAGCGACTAGCATGCCTGCATAATAATAATAAGAGAAAAACACATGTTTTGAGAATGTAGAGAAGCTGGATCTCATGCGTTGGTGGTAGGAATATAAAATGGCTCAGCTACTGGAGGAAACAGGGTGGCAGTTCCTCCCAAGGTTAAACACAGGCTCGGCATATGTCTCAGTCGGTCTGCTTCTATGTCAGAGAGAACAGAAAAACACGCCCACAGCTGGGCATGGGAGTGCACCCTGTAATCCTGGTGCTCTGGGAGACCCAGGAAGAAGGACCACAGTTAGGGCCCAGCCTGGGCAACTTAGGGAGCCCCAGTCTCAAAGTAAAAAGAGAGCTGAGGATGTAGCTCAGTGTGAAGGCTATGAGTTTAATTCCTGGCACCATGAAACCAAACCAAACCAAATAACACAAAAACAACCCCCAAATATATACATGGATGTTCATAACAGCTTTAGTCATGACACCCAAAGTAGAAACAATTCAAATGTCCGTTCAGTGATGAAGGGATCAACAAAACATGATGTCTCCTCACACGGAAGTGACTCAGCCAGGAGGGTGGCCTTCCGGCACACAGGGCACCATGGGGTGACCTGGAAAACATGGTGCCGGCAAAGAGGCCAGGTGCAGAAGGCCATGCATCGTATGAGTCCGTTTATATAAAATATCCAGGGTGGACAAATCCATAGAGACGGGGCCAGAGGAGCGGGAGGGAAGGGAAGACCTGCGGGTAGGCGTGGCTTTGGGGGTGAGAGTTGGGTTTGGGATGACAAAGGTCAGAGATGCCACATAGTGAGTGTGCTAAAGGCACCCTGCGTGCACTTTAGCAGGGTGAATTTTATGTTAGGTGAGTCACAGCTCAGCTCACTAAAACTGTCTAAACAGAGCAAAGCAAAATCAGGTGCACACCTCCGCCCTGCTGGAGCAGGGCTTCTCGGGGAGGAGGAAGTGGCTCCCGTACTCCGGCCTGTTTCTACAGGAACATTGCAAAGGTGGTGGTGAGTTGAGTCATGGTGGAAACACACTGTATTTCCCTCAACACAGCCTGGGGCCAGGAGCGTTGCTGTGGCTGGTCAGGGCCTCCCACTGGCATTTCTGGGGTGACGGTCACCATATGGCTGGCGTTTATCACAGGCATGCCTTTACATGCTGTCTTGTCCTCAGCACTTTCCACTCATCTCTTCACTAACCTTTATCACAACTGTGTGAAACAGGCATTATCGCTACTGTATTTGTCAGTCCCAATTTTCAGAGGGAAAAAAATGGGCTCTCAGAGAGCTGCGACTTCTTTTGTCAGAATTTCGGGTCCCTGTCATATACCTCCTCGAACCAGCGCTCCATCTGTGCTGTTCCAGTGAGCCCTTTTCATGCACAAAGTAACCTTCCTAAACCCAAAACGTTTTCTCTTCCAGTAGGGGATTTTACAGATCAAGAGGACACATATTCACTGAGCACTTCGCCATCACGTATGTGCTGCTCCTACTCTGACGGCTGTTTCTCAGGAGTGCAGCCAGCCCTCTTCCCCATGGCTTGCCATTGTTACGTGACATCCAGCAGGGCGTGTGCTAACACTTTCTAATTATTTATGTCATAGATGAATAAAGCCCGGTCTCCTGGTCACTTTTGTTCCAGACACTTCTCAGTCCTGCCTCAGCCTCCAGAGTGCAGGGATTACAGGCCCTTGTGTGATCTTTAAAACTGCAGTCACTGCTAAGAATAGAATAGTTATATCATACCACAGCAATATATGTGCACCCAGGTTTACAGCAGCACAGTCCGTAATAGCTAAAGCTTGGAAACAGCCCAATTGTCCATTGACTGGAGACTGGATAAAGATGTTTTTTGTTTTTTGGTTTTTAAAAAAAATAAAATGGAGTACTATTCAGCTGTGAAGAGTGAGAAACTAAAGTCATTTATACCTAAATGGATGCACATTGAGGATATATTCGTAAGTGAAATAAATAGGACACACATGTGTAAATACTGAACAGTTTCTCTGGTGTGAGAAACTGAAAGCATAAATAAGCATCAAAATGTATAATAATGTGAAATAGGAAGAAAGGGTCTAACAGGGAAGTGGGAGGGGTAGGGGAAAGGAAAGAAGGAAAAGGAAAAATTATGAGAAAAGGAAAAAATGGAAACAAAGTCTTTGTAAATAGGGAGGGGTGAAGGGAGGGCAGGGGAAGGGGAAAAAATAAGAACCAAGATGCATCATGTACACCTCTACATGTTCCCAATGATGAATGTGACTGTACTGTATGCCTAAAATGTACCAATACACTTAATGAATAAAAAAAGAGAATAGAATAGTTACTAAGAACATCATGATATTTCTGTTGTAGCCATAGCCAGCACCATATCCAAATCTGTGAAAGGTCGGGAAGTGAGTGTTCAGCACAGTTGCCCCTGAAACTACGGCAGCTCTGTCCGCCCGAGGGGCTGTCGGTCAGGCTGTTCTTGGGCCTCACTCTAAGGGACAAGAAATGTGTGTTCCTAAGCGCTGGGCTGTGGGGAAGACGGAGGAAGGGCAGGTGGGTGGGCTGCGACCTCTGAAGCGCTGACCGGGGACTCACAGTGGCTGCAGGAGTTTCCTCCTCTGGCGGGTGTGAGTGCGTGTGTGTGTGTGTGTGTGTGTGTGTGTGTGTGTGTGTGTGTGTGTCCCATGCAGTAGCTATAGCCTGCCGCAAGAGGGTGCTGTGCAACCAGGGACGCCAGCCTCGGCCCCTGTGGGTGTAGAGATGGCGTTCTCCAGTTGTTCTTCACTGCTAATCCCCTTCAGGTCTTTATCTTTACTAATTTTGTCTCTGTCCTTTTTTTTTTTTTTTCTGTACCAGGGATCGAACTCTGGACCTTATGCTTGCGAGGCAGCCGTGGTGCCACTAAGCTAAATCCCCAGCTCTGTTTCTCTCCTTATATTTGGGGTTTTGTAACCTGGAAACCATTGCTTCTGATGTTCCATTGACATACCGGTAATTTATTTTATTTTTTTAAAATTTATTTATTTATTTTTGGTACTGGGGATAGAACTCAGGTCCTTGCACTTGCAAGGCAGGCGGCAGAACCACTGAGCTAAATCCCCAGCCCCATATCGGTAATTTATATATAAAATACATGTGCATGTGCATTTTTCTACTAGAGGGAGGTTTCATAGATTTACTCAAATTAGCAGTGGAATATGTCATACACA